ATATATATTTATAAAGAATTGCGGTTGGTAACATTTGAAGTTTCGTAACCTTGGTTAACAATTTTCGACTGCGCATGCGTTCACAAGTACACGCAGCCACGCGATAATTGTCTGAAATCTAAAAGTAGTGGATCGTCGCTGCGATGTTCCTGGCCGGTTTGTGCGCCCTTTTTTAACGTTGTAAAAGCTGGAGAAGTACAACGTAGTTACGCATTTCTATTGTTCACGATTACAGAATACTGTTTAATTAAATAATTAAAAATGGTTAACGTCATGAATATGTCTCTCGGTTCGCGATGTGTCAAATACTTAATGTTTGTCTTCAATCTATTCTTTGTTGTAAGTAATTATTTATTTCTTTTTGGTTACCGATCGTTATCTTTTAGAACAAGTTTGCAGGCCTGTGATGTAGCTCTCATAAAGAAGTTTTATTAGTAGAATACGTTTTTGTTTCTATTACGCATAAATGCATCCGAATGTGCAACTGTGCAACAGATAACACTTCTTATTTTAAATGCCTCTTGATCATCGAACCATATTGATTGTACAGTACGGTTCAAAAAGTTATTATATCTTCAATAGCTCCATACGATCCTGCCACTTTAATTACAAACGTACTCCCGTAATAAGAGTTCCACTTGTTGTACAGGTTGTTGTACAGGTACAACGTCAAAAGTAAATATTGAAAATGTATTCGTGGAATTTTTAATATCAAATTTCATACTAACCTAGAAATAACCTAAAGCGATATAGATATCGATACAGGATCTCAGACGCTTTTGCAATAATACAAATATAATGGTGATTAATATTTAAAGTTGTTACGTATATTATAAAACAGCTGGCAGACGTTCTAGATAGCGAAATGATTCATTTCTTAGTAATCATTTTTATGCGTCATTCCTTTACTTAATGTATCGATATCGATATCCTTTGCGTAGAGATGTGTTTGTGCGTCTTATTTTTCTTGTTCTTAAGTTACCGATAGATCTTGTAGCGAACGTGTTGTAATGATATGTAGATAATTAAAAAGTTAATTTTACTGTTCGTTCTACTGCAAAGTACAATCAACAGATAACTACGTCATACGCGTACGACAAATATGACGCATAGAATACTGACGGATATGCACACAGATTGGGTAGAACATGAAGACGCAATTTTTAACAAAATTCTTGTATTTTATTAATTAGCTTGTATGCAATTCATTTAATGAAGAAG